TTTCGGATAAATGTGATATTATCTGTATCTGTATAGCCAGTATAACCGCCCTTCGACGTAACATACCACCTTCTCAGGCACGCGGTGTGGCGGCAGCTGGCTACATTACACCGAACGACTTGCTACACCCAACCCTTTATTATAAGACACTATAAGTGTAATGTTATATTTCTTTAGGAGCAAGGGTATAGATCACTAGCAAATTAGTATACTGAGACAATATTGACAAAAATGACACAAATCACATTTTATTATATTCAACTGGGAGCCCAGATTTCCGGAATGGTGCCCAATTCAGCTGCTTGCCTGTCTCTTTAACAAAATCCCCATAGCTCTGCCCTAATTAGTTTTTTTAAGCCCTGTTTTTATTTGATTTCCATATCTGTCCCATAGGACCCTCTCAGCAGACCTTCTGTCACCAGCCAAGGCTCTGGTCGGCTCTTCTGGCTGTTTTCTCTCCAAACATGGGGGTGGGGAGGGTCTGCATGAGGGTTTCCACAACACTGCATGATTGAATTTGGGAGGGCTGACCCTGGGCTGACAACATTTTCTGCGAGTTAAAAAATATTCACTACTCGTTATGGAATAAATTAGGAGTTGCCTACAGATTACAGAGAATTAAAATACTGTAAGTTCATCAATTTTTATAGGGACATAATTTCATGGTTGAGGGGAAAGTAGGTTTTCGAAATTTCATGGTTGAAAGAAACAATATTGTACAATACATAGAAATACAAAATACATATTTGTAGTGTCATATGAATTCACAGGGAGAAGTCACTGTGAAAATAGGGAACATACAAACACTGCAAATATATATATAGATATACAGTAGCTGATTATACCTTATAGATGGTAAGAATAATGCATGGAGCATGCAGACCCCTGTAGAGTGTTCAGCATGGTGCCAAAACACTTATGGGGCAATGTTGACAAACACTCAGTAGGAAGACAGCCTGATTTATTTGGTATCCATATCAAGCCTAGCCTGGATGCCAGATCCATAGCACACTGGGCCCAAAGTAATTTCCCAGTGAGATACTACTATTATTTTGGACCCAGTGTGCTATGGGTCTGACATCCAGGTTATATCAAGCCACCACTCAATGAAGAAAATGTCCTGTTCTAGTGTTAGACATTTAAATTGTCTTGTTGAACCATGGAGTTAATTTTAACTCCATGGTTGGACACTTAAATTAGAGTGTTTTTGTAGCAGGTTGGAAAAAGCAAGCAAAACTGTTCACTGATCAAATGAAGTAGTTCCCAAAAACTTTCGCAACAATAATGCCAAGCCCTCCTAGATCCCCAATGCTGACCCTCTTGTATTGACAACAGTACGTTAAGTCCCAAAATCTTGAGCTGGCTGACTACCAGGACTAGAACATGGATGTATCATGTCACTTGCCAGGAAGACAAGGGCTTGTCTGAAAAGTTCACGGAAAAGAACAACACTCGGAAGTGAGGACAGTACATCATACTCAGCAGTCTACACAGGGGACTCAGGTCCTCAAAACAACCTGCAAGTGATGAATTGCCCTTTAGGCCACACTAATTTAATTTCTTGGTTAACGGATTTTTCTAGAAAAATAACGGAGCGGGCGGGCGGAAAAAAAATAAAAATAAAAACATGCCTAGGCTTCCTATTATGGCCCAAAATGGTATGATACTGGAGCCATGCAGTCCGCACACCAGGCTGGTTCAAAATTTAAACAATCATTTTGAACTTTTAATGATACCACTGCATTGAAAGATGGAATGACTGTAACAAGTAGTAAGAAAAGGACTGTTTTCAACTATTCAGGGCAAAATATGAGCATTTTGCAGTTGATTCTGAATTTTTATTTTTATTTGCAAATCAGACAAATGAAGCGGCGAATCCGTTAACCAAGACATTAAATTGGTGTGGCCTTAGACTGGGAGATGCAGTTCCTAAATAGTGCCTGTTAAGGATCTCTCCCCAGTTGCCACAGGGCTCAAGTTCAAGGTGCTTGAAAGAAGGGACTGTTTCTCCTTTGACTTTGTGTCCATGGATTAGCCACGGTAACTTCTGGAACCGAGATGCCAGACTGATAGAGCACTACAGTTCAAAAGGTCATTTCAGACATATGAGAAGAAGTCAAACCCCCTAATAGCATGACAAGAATAGTTTAATAGAATAGAATAGATTAGAATAGCAGTTACTTTGTTCCTATTACCTGGTCACATATTGTATATCTACTTTTTACCCTGTATGTATTCCAACGTTATTAGGTTTAAGTAGAGATAGTAAGTTCGATAAGTATATCGTACACGTAGAAGTTGTTAGCAAATAGTCTTATATCACCACATTTTTCTTGTTAATGTCTGTATGCAATTAGCCCTCGGGCATGAATTTGCAATAAACATCATCATTACTATAAGAGATCTACACACTATTATACAGTACACTGGAAATACAGCATCTACAACATGCAACTTCCCTCTTGAAATGATTTTTAGGGTTGTCTTGACCCAAATTGGGGGCCATTTTATAAACAATGATTGGCTCAATAATTAGGAAGACAATACAGTAAGTTCATCCTACTATTTTCATCTGATCACCTGCCATTCTGCCTGTCAATCTTCATCCCACCCATGTGCTGTCAACCTACTGTCCAGACAGACACACAAATCCAAAGCTCACCTAGTTCCCTGTGTCTGACCTTTTGATGACCTCTGTCAATCTTTCCCATCCACGTACTGTCAACCTACTCTGTCCAGACAAGCATACACACAAACCCACAGCTCAGCCACCCAAAACAATACTTCCATTTTGTATCCAGCCTGTTGGAATACAGAAGTTCACTAATTCATACCTGCTGGAGTTAAAGAGTCCTGTTGTGTGTGCGTGGTGTCTGTCTAATTGAACACATGTAAGAAGCCCCCATGTTTTGTGTCGGACTCTGTGAGTGGTCCTTGTTCTTGGGGTGTTTCATCTTTTATAGATTCCCCGGGAGGTCTTTGTGTTTAGTGTGGGTTCATGAGCTGTTCACTGTGTGCCAGCAGATCAAAAAGTCATTTACATGTAGATACTGATGCCTTTTACAGCTTACAGGTCAGCCATAGGTGTTTAACACACCTACCCCAAGTATCTGTAGACAGCTGTATTTGACATAAAGATTCAACTAATCAATGTTTAATGTTTTGTATCAATTTTTATACCAAGGCACAAGTATTAGATTAGATTAGCTATATAATGTTAATGGTGTTACAATAAATTTAAGGTTTTTTTTAGAAGACTAAACATCTACTTTAATCTGCATGATGTACTTTATTTATCTCCACATTGTAGAGACGTATATTTGACATAAAGATTCAACTACTAATCAACGTTTACTGTTTTTTATCAATTTTTATAGGAAGGCACAAGTATACATGTATAATGTTAATGGACTTACAATAAATTTAAGGGTTTTCAGAAGACTAAACATCTACTTTAATCTGTTAGCGCAGAGACAACTGATATTGTGTCTGAGTATATACACAGCACTGTTCACTTGAGTGAGCAGGTTTGGGTTTCAAACAAATCACAAAACTGTTCATGCTTAGCTTCTTTCACCAACTCTTCCTCAAAACAACATTTTGCCTATTTTGGAGGAAGCCTAAATAATCCCTGGACTTCAATGCTCTCTTTGTTCTCTTTCCACCCAGAGGCTGACTCCACCAGATCTCTCATGATGATACTGTTACAGAGTAAACGGTCTACTCAAAACATACCTCCATTTTAGGGACAGGCAATTTATGGCCAAGATAAAAAGTCCTCTTACATAAGGCAAGCTGTACCTTGTGTTAGTCTAGAATACAAGCATATATGGCCAGACCAACCTGATTTGTAAGTTCTCTTGGATTTTGCAGGAAATAAATAAAATTTCGAGGGTGAAAAAGTTTATAATTCAAGCAATGAATTTTGAACTTTTACATCAAAATTCAAATCACTGCATTGATAAATGTATAACAGTTACAAAGGCAAAGACTGTCTTCAAATATCTGTGCCAACATATGAGCATTTTGAGGTTGACTCAGATCTCGAATGGTACAATACCATACATGTACATATTTTTTTCTTGCAAATCAGAAAGAAATGAGGTGGGCAAATCCAATAACCAACAAATTAACTGGTGTGGCCTATTAAGTCTAGATTAGAATATACGATACGCTAATAACAAGGCAATCAGAAGCTTGCAGGAAAATCGATAAGGCAGACATCTAAGTAAACTTGGAGGTATCAGATGACTTGCAGTTGTTTTCCTTTTCCTGGAGGCATTATCAGATCTAAAAGCACTTTTCGGCCTTAGCTGTGTCCACTAGATCAGTATCGGGAGGAAAGATCAAAAGGACTGGAGAAATCAAGGGCAAAGAGTTCCACATGTGCTGGATGTATGTATGTATAGTCTTACATTGAAGTGGCTAATCACTATTACAAGCAGTGGGCTGTTGTGAAAACCTTGAAAAGATTGTAACCCTAGATATACAAATAGTTGGAAGAACATTTAATATACTGGGTTTGGTGATAAAAATTCTTGTCTATATTGAGTTTCTTTTTATTTACTTGAGCACGGTAGCGTAGAGCCTTGTTTATCAACAGTTTTTTAGGATCAATGGGTACTTTGAAGTCCTCTATATTTCTACTTTTTTCACCAAAGCTCACGATAAAGTTGAGTAGTTCCAACTTTGCAAACTTAAGAATTTGACAGAAACAACTGGCGATATCATAATTCATTGGTTACTTTTGAGTGTTATGTGTATCCGGCAATAAGTTTACACATTCACTGATTCAGTGCGAATTTTGAAATGAAAATTGGAAAGTTTCATCCCTTATAAAACACACTTACACTCACTATCCTGGCTTAGATGTACTTATACAAGAACATTGTAAGATATTGGTATACCGTGATTGAGGACCTGTAATGAATGACAATGTTATAGACATTCGTGTGAAAACAAGGTGGACACGCCAGAAAGAAATTCAACTTTTTCCTCACCTGGAAGTCGAAGAACTTGCTGTATCTTCTATAGATGACTGAGTTGGAGCCGTCGGCCCAGGACACGTGGATCACATACACCTGAAATCAACGTAAACATGCAATTATGCAGAAGTAAATGACCAAGGCAACGAAGTGTCACAAATCCTGAAAAATTTCCACAACTGCACGCTGCTACAACTTCACTACCACTGCTTTTACAAGACTCCCCGAATATGTCCGCATTCTTCCTTCAGGACCCTTGGGTTGCTTAAAAAATAAGCATTCAACCTGCTCGGCGGTGCATTGGGAATATCTTGTATGTACCTCTACTCTAGGCAGCCTTGAACTTAAGTTTACAGTAATTTGTTGTACAAAGGTACCTGATTTGAATGGTGTCTCTAACTTCTTGGGGATGGGAGAAAAAAGTTTTGAAGTTGGGACGGATTATTTCATTACTAGAATTTCTGAGGGGGGGCTTGGGGGTAATCATAATATGGATCTATAAGTCTAGTACATTCCAAGGCATAAATTAAAGGATATTTTTTATTCATAAGATTGGTCATACACAAAAATTCTAAATTTATGTTTCTTCCATATTGTAATAATTTTATTCGTAATCAAGGCAAGGAATTCTACACCGTAAAATTAAAATTGGGTGGTCCAACCTTCTTCAAAACTTGTGTTCTTATTTGGATGTTAATTAGTTGTAACAGGATGTTGAGGAGTGAATCATTCCAAACATGGAAGTTTGTGGAATAACAGAAAACAGACAGCAAATTTTTACAGACGTAAAATTCTTCACCCAGTTACCAGGCAGGATGAAAAGGACATGTGTTTTGCTAGCAGGGAGGCCAAAACCACAGGGGGAAGTCTGGGGGAGCGTGGACCGGGCTAGGGCAGGGCAGGAACGGAAGGTTTTCATCTGTGTCCACAATTTCTACCGCCTAGAGACATGCTCCCTAGCAAAGTACATATTTATGTAACGTTCATTCAAGTTTACACACTAGGTAATGAATGGAAATTATGTTGTAGTTGGAAACTGGAGTGGGACGTCTTGAAAATTTATAATTTAACCCTCTCGTCCCTGAATAAAATTCCAATACTCTAGAATACTGGCTATATTAATTATTCATAACTCCAGGTGTCAACTTGTACTTTATATTTATCATAATTTTTCAGATTATTTACAAAGCTCGATCTACATACTAGTAGTAGTTATATCAAAATTAATATCTATCATAATAACATGTGTCACATATTTTCTGGTACCTGGACAGGCTGTTCTGTTGGCAAGCTAGAACCTGACTTGGGTAATTATGATAAATGGGATACAGAATTATCTTCTTCATAATTTTGTGGTCTACTAGAGATATTTGTTCTCTAGTCTTAATCTTAGTCTTATAGAAAAAGGGAAGGGCGATGAGTACAACCACAGCCAAAGTACAGTCGACCCGGTACCGACCAGTACAGTGCTACACAAAGTCAACATCACACGAACATGCCGGCCGCCGTGCTCAAACATACACACACTCCCGAATAACTGGGATGTCTCTAGACATACGAGAGAGAGAAAATCGGAAGACTGGAACTCACGTAGTGCTTGCTGGGGACCCTCCTCTTCTCCACCTCCACCACCTTCACCTCCAAGATTGTTCTGCGAGGCATCTCGGCTCTCGGCTGTCTAAAACATCTGATATTTGATAGATCCCTCTGCTCCGGTGGTGGGGAAATCTGGTCTGTGTTTTGACTCGGCCCAAATGACAGTACACTTCCGGTTTGCCTGCGCTCGCAAACAGCTTTCAACAATAAAAAGACTATCCACTGATTTTGGAAGCTTTTAAAGGGTCAAAACGCAACAAATATATTTTTCAATTTGTACAGAAATCTGATAATGTGGATACTTTGTCGTTTTTGATTGATACTTGTTGTTAAATCGTATCCTTTTGTGCGTTTACATGCGGTCATATTTTCGGTAGGCGGAGAAAAGTGAGAAAACCGGAAGTCGAAGTGACATTCATAAAATAAACAATCCCTGAATCACATGTGGAACAGGTTAGATCGTCTTGGGGGCAGCGTTTTTACTCATGTCAACATCATTAACCAGATGTCAGGCTTATCAGAACATCCTTCGGCGGTCATTCTGGCGTGTAAATGCTCTATAAAACGTAGTAACTTGCTTTGCTTAGAAAAGCCAAAAGGGGGCGCTACATGTAGGTTGCAACAACTGGTCATGGGGTTGGATGTGTTCAATGTCAAAGTTGTCCAAGTGTACGCCAAAAAGCAGTTACTCAAGCAACTGGATATGATTTTTAAACGTCAGACGTTTCAACTAGTATCCACTAGCTTTCGTCAGTGACTGTCTTCCTTTTCATCACTGACGAAAGCTAGTGGATACTAGTTGAAACGTCTGACGTTTTCAAAATCATATCCAGTTGCTTGAGTAACTGCTTTTTGGCGTATCGTATTACCTGGATGTCTAACCTTCATCGATGTTGTCCAAGTGTACTTGGCGCTTTAAAAACATCCAGTGACTCATAATAAGCAGGCTTTCGTTTTTGCACTGACGTCTTTTTTTATGCCAACCAAAAGATACAAGAAAGCCCGATAGAAAACCAAACCTCTGCTTTGAGAAGACTAATACATAATGATTGTCCTATCTAGAACGCAGCAAATTTTTAAGTAATTATGCAAATTAGATTCTGATTTACATACATTATCAGCTAATTCTGTGAAGCATCACTTAGGCTACCTACATACTTTAGTCACAACAATCTAATAATACCGCTTCTCGAGATATCAAGTTTTAAAATCATTCAGTTGATTTAGCTTGATCAGTGTGAGATTCTGTAGATTTATATAATACTGCGATGATGTTCGTCCATCGTAGTCGATGATGACCCAATGTGTGCAGGTTTACAGCTGCAGCTTGGATGTAATCCGCGCTCGCTGTTTCGCCGCTCCCCCATCGCCACAGGACTTTATAATATTGTAGTACAAAGAAAAGCCTCTAGTTGGCGCTCTTTTCACACCGTATGATGGAAACAGTCTCCGTCTCATACGCTCTCGGGAACCCCATGCAGGCCCTGAAACATATCTGACCAACCAAATCGTCGAAAAATAATCTGATCAGCAGAGATGACCAATGGGAAAAGTACATTTTTCAGACCAATGGAAAGGCGCCAGAATGCATTCTTCTGACCAATGGCTATGTCAGGATTCTAACAAAATTGACCAATGGCAGACTGGAATCCTTCGCACAGGTGGTTGGAATTCTATAAAGCCGCTGTGCAGAGTCGATTGCGTAATCAGTCGATTCAATTCTGCGGGAAGAGAAGATCATCGCTCTTCAATCGACACGGCCGTCTGCAAGCCGAAATGGAAGGTGTTGCTGTAACGTCTAGGGAATCAGCAAGCATCAAGAGAAGAATTTCGGGGCTCAAAATTCGGCAAGCAAATGTTTCGACGATCGAGGAAACCTTCGCTACAAAGGTGAGACTGGCTGCCAGGTTCTTGTACTTCTTGGTCTTTCAGGACACAGTCGAAGTGTCGCTTGGTTTCCGGCGTTTAGCGGTTACTTTAACCGTTACGGAAAATTCCCGGTAATCAAATCATGATGTATACAAAGTACATTCTATATAATATTTACAGTAGGGGCATTGTCAATAGATAGCTTTAAACAATGTCTAGAGCTAGAAGTTCAAGGGTCAGGTGTAACAAGTCGATCGGTGTATTATATAAATATAGCCAGCTGCCGCCGCGCCGCGTGCCTGCGAAGCTGTTGTGTTACGCCGAAAGGCGGTTATACCTAGCCTGGGTACCATCCCCAGTAGTATATTCGCAAACTCTATAACTGGGTCTGGACTTGCACACATATAAAACGATTGGTCATGACGTCACGTAATGAGCTAGCCCGAGCAGCGGGGCTTCATTTGATTGGCTAAGCCTCAGAGGCGACGGCCAATGTCGCGCCTGCATTATTCAAGTGATGTTTGTTGTTTTGTAAACACAGATCTTCGTGCGAGTGTTCCTTTTCTCGGCGCGTTCTTTTTTTTACCGGTAGGACGCCCAAAACATCACGAACGAAATTATTCAATGCATCTTTTTGCTCATTTTTGAGCGACGATATTCCGTCTAAATCGTCCAAAACGGACGTGATTGCGAGGTCAACATCAACCTCCGTGAGCTGAGCGGCTTGTGCGTCAGCCATGTTGATGATTTATCGCGGAAAGACTGACTACGGCTATATCATGTGCGCTGTAGCGTTCGGTTCGCCGTCGGACATGTTGATGATAAGGCGTTCGGACGTTCGAACGGACGCTAACGTCGCCGTTCGGACATCCGAACAGCCCTTACCTAATATGTACACACCCAAAAAAGGGCTTAGACGAGTAGGACCAATCAGCGCGCTCGTTCAAAATCTGAACGAATATTTAGACTCCAGACGCTACATATGTGTGCAAGTCCAGACCCAGTTATAGAGTTTGCGAATATACTACTGGGGATGGTACCCAGGCTAGGTTATACCGGCTATACAGATACAGATACAGACAGATACAGATATAATATCCTTGGGTTCACCATGGGTTCACAAAGGATTTGCAGCTCCTTGGGTTCACGGAATGTGTACGTTGTGCTCGTAAACTCGCTTGAAGTGGAGTCAAATGTGTAACGTTACTAATCTAATACTAGTACATTGTTTTTGTATCTCTTTGCAGTTCTTCTCGAGAAAACGAGTAAGGAAACGACATGGCCAGAACTCACACAACCTGATGAATCTAATGCAGCTCTGAGGACAGGGACAAGAACTGATGCAATGCTGACAACCTGCATCAGAACCTGATACTACAGGTAGTAGAGGAATCAACAGTACTGTTCACTATGAGTAAATCTTGTACAACTTACACCTACCTGCTTATGGCTTCTCCATTGACAATTGGAACAATTGATGTAGGCCTGTTTCACCAGATTTGACTACAGTTGTATAAATTTTTGAAGGATAGCCAGCCTGTTCAGAGCAGGATGAATAGCACTACAGTACATCTAACTGATGTGCATGCAACTTTTTTTCTCCCGTTTAAAATTTGTTTGCCACTACTTGTTCGGCTTTTGGCAAGACACAAGATATTGATGACCTCGTGCCTTTTCAGTTTTAAAAGCAAGAAAACTAAGCCTATAGCTGTCTTGGTCTAATTGTTTGTAATTTGACTTTCTTGCAGTAATACAAGAAGCAGGGAAGGAGACATCTCACAGCAGCTTCCGGGATCCGCTATATTGTCATCAACTACACATTTCATGAAAAAGGGGTTCGCAGGCAAAACAAAAGTAATTAATTTGTGATGCGATATTTCAGTACCTTTTGGAACTATATAATAACTTTAAGAACTAAAAACATGCAAGGTGCTTGGGTTTGTTTTGATGCCATCCTGAGTGATACTGTTGGTTTGGCCCGGGCTGGATTAGGGCATTTTGAAGGTGGTGGCTACTATTGTACACAGGGCTTTAGTCTGTTTTTGTGGGATACAGGTCCGACGTATGGTTGGTTTGGTTTCTGTGACTATACCGGGGGCCGGGATTAAGTTCCGAAGTTGCTGCAAAGTTCAGTCCTCTAGAAAACGGAGACTTCCTTAAGTTCTGTTAGCCCGTGATTATTTAGGTATCTTGTACTGCCTGACTTTCTTTCTGCATTATGTGATTGTCAGTGGGTCGGGAACCCTGACCATTACATGAGCTGCCTTGTGTTAGAAATAATAGGGGTTGGGGTAGGGAGGAATCATCTGGCTTGGGTATCCGTTAGTCTTGAGATCCCGAACTGAGACTACGGCACATGGCCAGAAGGGAAGACAGGAAGATGAAGGGCCTGAGTGATCATGAGCTAACAGAACTGGGGAAGTCACTGTTTTCTGGTGGGCTGAACTTTGTAGTTACCTCTGAGCGCAATTCCGGTCATCGACATAGGAACAGACGCTGAGTCAGCCAAGCGTTGGACCTGAATGCCACGGAGATAGGCTGAAGCTCTGTGTGCAGAAGTAACCATCGCTCTCAAAGTGTCCTAATCCCTACGAGTACCAGCGCTGTCACACGGGCTGTCATCGAAACATTCGTAACGCCTTGCCACGGATTGTTTTTAAAAAAGTCACTTTTTGTGGCTTTCGTGGACTGAAATTGCATCACAGATCATGAGCTTTCTGCCATGCTCCCACAAGCATAAAATGAAGTTTGTTAATTATTTATAGAATCAAGGACATTATGATAGAATGTACAGTGTAATGTAAAAAGTCTATGAACAAATACGTGTTGCTCAGGTGTTCAAGTCATTTTTCATCCTCCTGTATCAAGTTTAATTTGTTAATGGTGCTACGATTGTTTTATAGAAATATTGGTTACACAGTAAGCTAGTCTAATCTTAAGATGTCTAGTTTTGTTATGGTGCTACGATTGTTTTATAGAAATATTGAAGCTGCACAGTAAGCTAATCTAATTTTAGGATGTCTAGTTTTGTTATGGTGCTACGATTGTTTTATAGAAATATTGGTTACACAGTAAGCTAGTCTAATTTTAAGATGTCTAGCTAGTTTTTGTTATGGTGCTACGATTGTTTTATAGAAATATTGAAGCTGCACATAGTAAGCTAGTCTAATTCTAAGATGTCTAGTTTTGTTATGGTGCTACGATTGTTTTATAGAAATATTGAAGCTGCACAGTAAGCTAATCTAATTTTAAGATGTCTAGTTTTGATATGGTGCTACGATTGTTTTATAGAAATATTGAAGCTGCACAGTAAGCTAATCTAAGTTTGAGATAGTTTTAGATAAGTTGTAGTCCTCTTTCTGTGGTCCTGCTGGACAGAGCTGCCTGGGAAATGTGGTGTGAAGACTTGTCGAATGCTGCCCCGCCATGTCAGAGACCCCTGCATGAAGTGTAATCAAAGATTGGATAGTTCAAGATTTAATTCATTGTAAGCTGAACATCTAGTTACGATAAGTTGATCTAGTTGCAGTTGTCTAGTTTGAAGATAACTTATAGTTGTCGATAGGTTGAAGTTGCCTAGATTTCTTCAGATTGCAATTGTCTAGTTTTTTTTAAAGATTTTCTTAGGTTGCATTTTTTAAGACTTTTTATTTTTTTATTCTATTACTTTTTATTATTATTTTTTATTTTATTT